CAATCAGAGCAACTTGACATACAGACCATCCCCCAGCACAGCCAAGTGCAGACCATCTCAAACACCTGCACTCAGGCCCATGGTCCTAATCATCCTCTATATTGACTTGCTGTGTAACGCCACAAAGAACCTGAGAATGGGCTCCCACAGGACATACAGAACATCCCACAGCAATAGTCATTGGTGAAACGAAAGTCACTATCACCCAGGTTGTATAACATCTACTAGAATGGTTATACATTTTTAATGGGTAATAGTTATTCAAGTTTACAAACTGTTTGAAACAAGAGGAAAAACGTGTCCCCGAACTCAGCAGGATAGCGTTCCGGGCGCAGAGGGCAGGCCTCTAGAAGGGTGCCCGCCATGTGGCTGCACTGTGTAGAGGAGCTGGGCTGGGCAGGGTGGCTGGTGAAGGGGCAGGAGTGATACCCTGTTGGCTTGTACCCTAGGCAGCTGGAGTGGCAGAGGCACTCATTCTCGGCTTCTGCCTTTCTGGTGTGGGTGTTAATGTTCCCTCTGCGGCATCTCAGCGGCATCTCCTTCCCTGCTGGGCTGGATGCAAAGTTCCCCAACAGCATCAAGGTACCCAGTGAGGACTCCAGACCCTTCTGCAGACTACATTGGCTCTTTTCGCTCTTTTGATCTCTCCAAATACAAACAAAATCTAAATAGGTTGCCATCAGAGGTTCAAGACAAAAACCCTCAGTCGGATTGGGAACCCCTGTAAATCAAGGAGCCACAGCACACGCACATGTGAGGCAGTTGGGCTCTCCTGCTCAGGTAAGGGAAAACACCCACAAAAGGGCAGCTTTCACCCACAACCAAATTCAGCAAGAAAACTAGAGGCTGGGAAGATCCCGGGAGAGGTGCAAGGAAACCTGGGTTCTGCTTCTATTTGGCTCCTCTTTAGCAAGTTTGTTCTCTCTGGGGCCTCAGTTGCCCCTTCTGTAAGTGTGGGGGGAGTCGCTTTAGCTAAGCAGAAGGGTCTCTGAAATGTCACGGGCACACAGCAGGTGCCTCTAATGGCAGTGGGAGCCCTCCTTATGCCGGGGGAACGTGGGACCACACCCCAGCACCCGCAGCTTGCCAGACCGGTGACCAGCAAGAGCAGTGCCCTGCGGGGCAGGGGCAATGTCAAGCCAGAGCAATGCCTGACGGAGGCGGGGCTCGAACCCACACAGAAGGCCCGGGTCATGTGGCTGGGTCACATGGTCCCACCCGGAAGCGAGCCGCGGGGCTGGCTACACTGAACGCTGAGAGCAGCGGATCTGGTATGTGGGCATCGTGGGTGTCTTAGCGCCACCCTGGGTCGCCCCTCGGTGGGCACCTCCGCCGCCCAGCCCTCCCAGCTTGGAGAGGCCCGGGGGTCCCCGGGAACGGCCTCAGTCTCACGATCTTTCAGAGCGGGCGCCACAAGCCAGGCCTTAGTCCCCCGGGTCACCGTGAAATTCGGGGAGTAGGGGAGGGGACGTGAGGATTTGAGGGTGACCTTGCAAGAATGCTAAGTGAGCTGCCTTTGGGCGGAGCCCCGCCGTGACGCGGCGCTAAGTGCGCGGGGCGAGACTCCACCCCGGCTAGCTGTTCCTGCCGGGTATCGGGGCATCGCAGGCTCTAGTCCCCACCCCTCGCCCCCACTTCTCACTGGGCTGTGGTCGACAGGACAGAGGCCACAGGGACAGTGTGCTGGGGATAGTGAGAGAGCTGTGGTCCGGGTGGTAAAAGCGGGTACAGGGGATTTTCTCAGGTTGGCCCTCCTCCAAGTTCCCTCTGTTGAGGGCAAGATAGAAGGAGAACAAAAGTTTAAAACACGAGGTTAGCAACCTTTGAAGGTAATCACCGAAGCAGTAAAACCTGATCCCCACCAAGAAGCATGCCAGTGTTTCCAGGAAGTTGTCATCAAGGCCAAGCCCGAGGGTGGTTCAGCCAGGCTCAGAGTTTCACTGCAAAAGATGCTGAACCCCCAGGATCGAACCTTCCTCTTTGACTTTACATTCTTCTTGCCTTTTATCAAAAGAGGGAGGATTCCGGAGTGAGTTTGTTTCTCCTGTTATTTCTTGTCCTTGAGTTGAGCCTACTCTGCTGAGGTTGCATCTGGCTGTGTCTGGGTGACTCTCCCTGTAACCGGGTGGGAATACCTGGGAGGAAGGCGCACATCCCTATCTGTTCCTTGGTCTCCCAGTGCAGAGTTTGAGGCTCAGTGTTGAATGTGGCCTAGGAAAGCCCAAACTGGAAGCAAACCCTGATGCTTTTTTTGTTAGTTTGTGGCCCCTTCCCAGGATACCTTCTGTGTGGTGACCGGTCACTGGCTCACAGCAAGCTCCCCAGGGCGGCTCAGGGTGGGTTTGCTGACCACACCATGTGTTTGAGTGGCACCGAGTGTATAGAACAAGACCTCTCCTGCAGCAGAGGAGGTAGGAACTAGAGTGTTGCCGACACTCGCTCCACATAGAGGGCTCCCCAAGCTCATGGTCCCTAAAATGGGGGAGCCTGTGACTTTTCAGCCCCTCCCCAGCTTGTCCACTCTCAGTAACAGGCAGCGGTGGAGACCAGAGCTCCTGCGGGCTCTCATGCCCTCTCTGCCTTAAGCTTTTGCAGGACCAAGGATGCTGTGCTCTTCCCTGAACTGGTCAGAATCTAGCTCCTTGGAAGCCCTGCTGTATGCCTTGCCGAGGTAAATGATGTTCCTCTTCTGGGGTGGGGGTGGGGATGGAAAGGTGGGCCGCATCCACTTTAGGGCTGTGGAAAACAATGAGGATAGTGGACTGAACCACTGTGGGCTCTGTACACCTTCCCTTTCCACCCCGACCCTCATGTCGCTCCTTGGTCGGGGTGTAACAGAACAACCTCAGAATGGCTCTCTCAGTGGCGGCTGGCATGCCCAGAGGGCTCAGAGAATGTCCAGCAGGCTGAGGGTCTTCTCATTCCTCAGGCTGAACCAACAGGTGTGACCTTTGCTCTTGCTTCTCCTGGAAGATGAAGTGCGTGTTGGTGGCCACTGAGGGCGCGGAGGTGCTCTTCTACTGGACAGACGAGGAGTTTGAGGAGAACCTCAGGCTGAAGTTCAGACAGTCGGAGAATGAGGAAGAGGAGGTAAGTGCAGCGTGGGCTGTCTCAAGACAGCTCCGTGGGAGAGGAGCCACCCAAGGCACCCAAGGCACCCAAGGCACCCGGAGGGCCTCCTCCTGGCCAGCAGGAGGGCTTGGCAGGGCCTGTGCCTAGCCAGCAGGAGGGCTGGGCTACCCGGCCAACAGAGGCAGCCGTTGATGTTCTGAGTACTGTAATTTCATACCTCACCAGAGCTGTCTAGGCCAATGGGAGGGAAAGGAGGTAAATTTTAGCCACATATCAGGGAAACCTAATATCGGGTCCTTAGCCCTAAAAGCTTGGCATTCACATAAGGCATTCATTTTTAACAGCTCTATTAAGGTGTACTAGACTAACCATTGTCTTCCTGTTTAAAGTATACGATTTAATGTGTCTATATCTGTGATTCAGTCACACTCACTGACCTGCCTGCCATCCCCAAAGTTACAAGCCTTCTTTTACTTCCTTTGCTCCCTAAGAACCAGTGAGCACCTGTGCTGATGAGTTTGTGTTTTGTAGACTTACCCAGAAGCGTCGTACACAGTGTGTGTGGGTTCCACTTTGTGCTGTGTTTGGTTTCGAATGGCTCTTCTCACTCAGCATGATTCTTTGTTGTGTCTTCATCCATCTTAGCACCTATGGGTCCTCTCCTTTCTGTGCAGCGTTCAGCCACATCACAGGCCACAATTCCATCCTTCTTTCTCCTCTTGGTGGACATTGAGCTTGTTTCCAGGTTTTGATTACCATAAACACATTGACTGTGAACATACATCTTTACATGGTTTGGACTCTGTGGATGTATTTGGTTTTTGGTTTTATGTGTATGGGTGTTTTGCCTGCATGTATATCTGTGCACCATGTGCATGCTTTTCCCACTGAGGCCAGAAGAGGGGATCAGATCACCTAGAATTGGAGTCACAGATGATTCTGAATTGTCATGTGGGTACTGGGAATAGAACCCAAATCCTCTGCCAGAACAGCTAATGCTCACAATGGCTGAGCCATCTCTCCGAGCCCTGTAGTCCTTAAGAAACCCCCTAGCTCTCCACAGAGGAAGTATCTACCATTTTACATCTCACCAGCTGCTTTTCAGGTCCTTGCTGATGCTTACTATTCATTCTTTTTTATTTTAGACAGTTTAATAGATGTCAGCTAGAAGTCCATATTTCGTTTTCCATCCTTTGGTGACTAATAACTCTGGGAGGCTTTTCATGTGCTACTTTGCCATATTGTTTCCCATATTTGATCTAATCAGAGTTTGCTTCGGGCTGTCTGCCGGCTCCCAAATAGCAACACAGAGATGTTATTAATTATGAAAGCTCGGCCTTAGCTTAGGCTTGGTTTTTAACTAGCTCATAACTTGAATTGGCCCATTTCTATTAATCTATGTTCTGTCACACACTGTCCATCCTGTTGCTTCTATGAACTTGAATTGACCCATTTCTATTAATCTATGTTCTGTCACACACTGTCCATCCTGTTGCTTCTATGTCTCCTGGCATCTCCCCTGAGCCTTGATTATCTCCTCCTTCCTCTCTCTGTGCCCAGAAGTCCCACCTATACCTCCTGCCTAGCTATTGACCATTGAGCTCTTTATTAAACCAATCACACAATATATCTTCACACAGTGTACAAATATCCCACAACAGATCAGTGTTCTCAAGTTGTTCATACTGAATTTTCAGAATTTCTTACATAGTTTGAACATGTCTTTTATTAGATCTTTTGCAAATATTTCCTCTCAGACTATGGCTTGTTTGCACATGCTCTTAATAGTGCCTTCCAAAAGGGCTGTCTTCTGGGGGTGACCTTTGTAATACTCTCACTAGAATCATCCTGAACTGGAGTTGTGCAGAGAAGAGGATGGATGAGGAAAGAGCTCTCTGCTAGGACCACCACATCTAGAAGACAGTTACAAGTGTGCCCAGGGATCCATATGTGCATTTCTGGGAAGAGACTTCTTGTGTTTATTTTGCACAAAGTTCATTTCACAACATCTGAACTTTATGAATGTCCTAAAGGAGATCATATGGTTTAAAGGATAGTTTGACAGATTGACAGAACAGACTCCTCTTGAACATACAGTTGTTAAGCCATGTCTGGACAGTGTGAGTTCATTCATTTGCTAGGCTGACTGTGGAGGGGCAGAGGGAGGCTCTCAGTGCGAGATCTGCAGCGCTGTGCTGTGCTGAGACTGACATCCTGAGAAGCCCTGTCATAGGTAACCTTCAGCTACTCCATAGGAATATGTTTATTGAGCAGGAACATGCCTTCCTCATAATTTAGTATATAGATCTGATGATAAACGCAGGAAGGCTGTACTCTGCTGTCTGTGGCTTTGTGTTTCCTCCTCAGCTGAGCATTGAGAGATGCAGCATTTTAATTGTAACTCTGCCAGTCCTTCTGTCTAGAAGCCTGCTGCCATGTTTGTCTTCAATGAAATTTTTGCTGCCAAGGAAGACAGGATTACAATTCTGTCTGACAGATTGAGATAGCATGGTGTATTCTTGGTTATCAAAATACTCATGTAGCGTGGGGTTTTTAGTTGGTGAATAGTCACAGTGTTGGGGAAAGCATGGTACATACTGTATAATCTCAGTTCCCTAAATGCACATACACTTGCAGGATCTAGAAGGACACGTCAAGCTGAGCTGCTTGTGACTCAGTGACTTTGTTCTTGGCTTCTTGTATTGTGTTTCCTGTTTGCACATACTGCAAAATAAATAAAAGCTTCTTTTAAAGGCTTAGGGCAAAAAAAGAGTCCCTTCAAAGGGCCACGTTTTTAGTTCTGACAGCACAGTCTTCCATTTTTGCAATTATGGATCATGCTTTTGGTGACATATGTCTAAGAAATCTTCGCCTAACTGAAGATCACAAAGAATTTTCCCCATATCTGGAATTTGTATACTTTGGGGTTTGTTTTGGTTTGGGAGTTTTGTTGTTTTTATTGTTGCTTAACTTTTATTTATTTGTATGCATGCATGCAAATGTGTGCACATGCCACAGCCCATATGTGGTGGTCAGAGGACAACTTGGGAAAGTTCTTTCTACCATCTTGGCAATCAAATTCAGGTCGTCAGGCTTGGCAGCAAGCATCTTTATCTACCAAACCACCTCCAGCCCCTATTTCTGCCCAGACAAGATCTCACTAGGTAGCTCAACAACCTCTATTGGATTTTATATTAGACCTAATGACCCTTTTTAGACTTGAATATAGTGTAAAGTATGGCTGTAAGCTTTTCTGCATATGGACATCCATTTTATTTAGTATCACTCAGAAATGGTTGCCAAATTCTCTTACATAATTATTTAGTATCACTCAGAAATGGCTGCCATATTATCTTATATAATTCCCATTCTATATTTCACAAGTTTATATTGCATTTTTCAGGGTTAATTTTGGATTAAATTATTTTTATTAGTGTTGCAATGATCAAGTCATTCTTGCATTTCCTGGCAGCACAATCTAGCTGCTCCCCAGATCCAGGGGTGAGACTAAGGCCTGGCTGAACTTACCTGCTTCGCTGGCCACATCACCCTCACCATCAGCCACTGATGCCATTGTCCTTGGTTAAGAGAAAACAAAATTTGGGAGATCATGGACATTCGGATGATTTTCTAAATTAAAAACCAGGCCCATCTCTTTGACACTTCTGTAGCAGAGTTTTCCTGCTTTGCCCACAGTCAGGACAAATCTTTGTCACCTGCCAGTCCCACAGCCGCTCAGACCCAACCAAGTAAACACAGAGACTTATATTGCTTACAAACTGTATGGCCGTGGCAGGCTTCTTGCTAACTGTTCTTAC